TCTCTCTCTCTCTCTCTGGCTATGATGAAGCCTATGGACCTCTTCTTCAGACCAATGTATTAAAATATATAAAATAAAATATATAAGATTACAAATAAAATAAATTGTATTCAAATTAAGCAATTGAAAAAAAAAAGTTCATAGACCTCAAGTTAAGAATACCTCCTGCTGAAATCTCTCTCTCTGCAACTTCTACACATTACTCTCAGTTCTCTGAGGCCAAATCATGTTTTTTTTTTTTTTGCTTTTTTTGGGGTTTTTTTGGTGAGGCAATCAGGGACTGGAGCTCTATCCATTGCACCACCTAGCTGCCCCTCTCTGAGGCAAAATAGAATAAGTCTCAGGGCAGCTAGGTGGCTCAGTGGATAGAGCACTGGCCCTGGAATCAGGAGGACCTGAGTTCAAATCCAACCTCAGGCCAAACACTTGACACTTACTAGCTGTGTAACCCTGGGCAAGTCACTTAACCCCAATTGCCTAAAAAATTAAATAAATAGATGGATAGATGGATAGACAGACAGACAGATACATAGATACAAAGATACATAGATACATAGATAAAGTCTAATCCCTCTTCCACAGGGCAGGACTTTAATACTTGAAGACTGCATTCATGTTCCCCAACTTGTCTTCATATGGAATGATCTCAGTGCCCTTCACTATACAGGTGACCCTGATGTAGAATAACTGAATGGGCGTTGCCTCAGACAAAGTGAGACCTGGGAAAGCCTTTAGCTAAAAAAGGCCAAGGTCTCCCACTGCATCCAGTAACCAGTCTTGACCTATGTCTTGCCACTGGACTCCAATGACTCTGGAGGAGACAGTGAGGCTGATGACTTTGCACAATTCTGCTTCGCTTAAATCCAATTCACCTGCAAGTCAAGACATCACCCTCCTGATGTCATTGGTCCTCTTTGAACAAAGGATTAACAACAATACCCAATGTGCATGTGTTCTAGCTTACTGATGTCACTTCTGAAATGTAGCACCAAGAACCGAATACAGTTTTCCAAACATGGTCTTATTAGAGCAAAATACAACAAGACTAACATTTCCCCAAACTGATCTTATTCACTGTGCATAGAAAAAGTGGATTTATCTTTACACTGAATTTCATGAGTTATTCTACTTTAGGGATATTTGTGGGACAGCTAAGTGGTAGAGTGGATAGAGTGCCAGGTCTGGAGTCAGGAAGACTCATCTTCCTGAGTTCAAATCTAGCCTCAGATACTTACTAGCTGTGTGACCATGGGCAAGTCACTTAAGCCTGTTTACCTCAGTTTCCTCATCTGTAAAATGAGCTGGAGAAGAAAATGGCAAATTACTCTAGTATATTCACCAAGAAAACTCCAAGTGGGATCATGAAGAGTCAGATATGACTAAAAAATGACTGAAGAGATATTTGTATGTTCATAAACAATAATTCACATTTGTATAGTAATATAAGATTTTCAAGTCAACTGTGCCCAAAATAAGTAGGTAGAGTGATTATTTCCTCTATTTTACAGATGAAGAAACTGAGGCTTGGAGAGGTTAAGTGATTTTCCTTCCCAAGATCATGCTAATAAATGTCAGAACTTAAACTGACAGAGCTTTTTCTTCTAGATTACAATGCCTATTCCCCCTATAGTTCCAGTTGAAACAAGTAGAAAACACCTGTTTTCAAAGAATCAAATAAAAGTTAAAAGTACTAATGTTTGATATTAGATAGAATTCCTCATCAGAAAGGAATAGGTAGTGGAGATGTTTTCATTGCCAACTTTGTAGGGACAATTCAAGGAAGGATATTTATGAAGATTTCTCTAGAATGTCAAATCTTCTGAATTAAAAGTGAAAAAAATCAGTCAATTACTCACATTTGAATTGTACCATGCACACAGTAGGTCTTTGTTGAATTTTAAAAATTTGCACATTGCCAAACATTTAGATATCTGGAACTAATGTTGGTTGATTTTTTTAACCTATCATCTACATTTTCTCACTGAACCTTACTATCAGTAACAACCCTGCTGATTACTCACTTATACAACCCATGTGTCCTTTGTGGAAGTACAGAAAAATATTACAAATTCTCACTTTTTGGATTCAGTATCTTTTAGCAACTTGAGTTTTCTAGCTGTTAATTTTAAAATAATTTTAAGTCTCAGGGATCTACAAAACACAATTTTAACTGTTTTCTCTACCTATGAAGCTGGTAGGCATCAAAACTTTAAGGCACCAATCCCTAAAGTTTTACTATACAAAAATGCTTTCCCTTGAGAAACAAAACACATGTAATCTACTGGGTTTTTTTCCTCTTTATTTTAAACTCTGGGAAGTTATTTATGCTTCCAAGAGGAAAATAGGATTCTCAGTCCTCACTACAATGGGAGGAAATTACACCTGCATCTCATTGTCAGGAAGTTCTCTACTTCACATTTTTATGAATGAGCACCAAGATCATAAGGTTAATTTATGTGCCCTCTTTTTCATTTTTGAAGAGTATTCATGAAATCCTAACACTATATATTAAATGGAAGAGCTCACAGTTTGTTGCTTTAGCACACTTAGTCATGACACTTGTTACACACACAGCAATGTCTAGGG